ATCAGCACATGTACTGACCTCTTTCTTGCCAGGGCTGGAACAAAATCTGTAGCCTTGAGCCAAGATCATGGGTGACTCCAGGCTAGGAGATAGCGAACACAGAAGTACTTACTGCCGACTGCAAGTGAGGAAAAAATCTGGTGTGTTCTTTAATACAGATAAAAGTGTTAAAACACAAACTCGCTAATTCACCCCCGAGTGAGCTATTGATTTCCTTAATTGGACATTTTTAATCATTTTCTGCTGCTGCAGTTTTCAGGTTGCGTGTCACCTTCAGCAAAGATAGCTAGAAATCTGCTCGACTTCGTTTAGCAGAAGTTTAGGCCAATTAAAAGTTCAATTAAGAAACTAAGAGCTCAGCTAGAACAAAAAAATCAAACCTTTAGGAACAGGCCTGGTAAACGCTGTTACAAAACATTGTTGCTCATTACAAGAATTCTACTCAGATCTACTGATCCATCCAGGCATGATGTAAATTCACAGATGCAAAAAAATAAATGACACTCGTGTGTTATACACCTTTGCCCCAGTATGTGTTTATTCGGTAGAATCAGATAAAACAACACCAACACCCAGGGGAGGAGAACAGAGTGATGAAGCCAGTTCAGAGATGGGGATTATTAGGAGGCCATGACTGGTAAAGGCCAGGAGGAAATTCGTCCAGAACACTAGCGTTAACTCTTTGACCAAAAAAAGTCAGAACCTCGGTTTTACATCTCATCTGAAGGACAGCACCCTTTTTCCACTATAGAGTCCCCACTACCATACTGGGACATTGGGACCCACACAGACCGCAGGGTGAGGTCATACAAGTATGGAACACTTACATATATGACCAGAGGGTCATAAACTCTATGGAACATTTCCATGCCTAACAGATCTCCCTGGTCTCCATCGCTGACAAAAGGTCGAGGTGTCAGAATACCGCCCTGTTTTTCATCGCTTTGACTGGGCGATCGAGAAGAACCACATCAGGGGGATGGCTGCTTCAAACAGCGCCCTTTGTCTCCCGTGCTCAACGCTTTCCAGTGTCTCACATATCCGAATGCCAAAATGCTGTGTGATCAGTCAGCCCTGCTAAGTGCTGAAATGCTTTTGGAGAATGGATCTATTTTACCGTTGGCATTAGAAAACGCCCCCAAGTGCAACACCCACCTGCACCAAGAGTGGGTCAAGCGAAAAAGTTTTGAAAGTCTGGTCACGTATGACATGAGCTCTGGAAAGTGGATTTCAAGCACACCACACACTTCTGTTTTAAGCATGCCTCCTAATCTCTCCCATTTTATTTTGTTTTTCTCACAGAGGGAATTCATTGGCAGTGAGCAGTTTGTGTTCCCTCCACACGGGGCTGCTGGGATGCCTGCCCTGTAAAGGGCAGCTCTTTGATTGCTACGGGGGCAATGGCCCTGGGAGGGGGTCGCCTGCCTTTCCCATCAGCCCTCCGCGTGTGCCCACCCCGCAGCCTGACACTGGCGGTGATGACATCGATCTTCTTGGTTTGCAGTTTGGGTCAGGAACCAGGCGCCACTCCGGAGGCCGTGTGCACAGACTCTGCAAAACGCACAGCGAAACCAAAACGGGCCTCGCTGACAATGCAGGCGCCTCCTTCAGCGTGGCTTCAAATAGATCCACCCAGTGGATCTGGCCCATGTCTCTAGACTCTGCACTGTCCTGTCCTCATCAGCGGCTCCCGGCTCTGCTCCTTGGGGTTCTGAACTCTGCACATTTTCTTTGGTTCTTTAAGCCAGAAACAGCGCAAAGCCATGGGGAAGTCTAATTCGGTCCCGTCAAAACTTAATGAGCTCACCTTAGCTCTTCTCCGAGGTGTGGAGCTGCTAGTAACTAACAGAAGCACAGAAATGGCCTATGGTCTAATGGTCTAATGGCCTTCTGACCTAGGGACTGGAGTTGTAGAGCTCCTGCACTAGACTGCACCTTAATTCCCTCATACCAGTTCTCCAGTTTCCTCTTGCAGGGCATGATCTTTGCCCGCTGTCCTCTCTTTCACCGATTCTCTCCAGCCAGCTCCTGCTGCCTCCCTGTGCAATGTCTGCTGCCTTTGACACTGCAGATCACGCTCAACGTCTGCCGACCATCTCTGCCAATCTCCTCCCACATACGTCACCATCATCTTAAACTCAGCCTTTCCGAGTCTGACCTTCTTTATATCCTTCCTCCTCCTTCTCTCTTTCCCTCTTGATTCGGCTACCACCCTCCCCCTCCGATCGAGGAGGATCTGAGCATCAGGAGTTGATTTTGGTCAAAAGTAGAGACCGTTATGATGGTGCCGGTGACCCTTACTTGTTTGGTTCCTTCTCCCACTGGCCCAACCAAGCCCAGTGGATCTGCCCCTTGTCTCCAAATGGCATATTTGCAGTGCCTGGCAAACTCTGAAAACCTGTGCCTCCTGGTTTTTATACAGTCTACAATTATCCTCCTCCAATTGATCAGCGGACATAGGGTTGCGGATCACTCCCACAGCCTTCTGGTGCTAGCCCTGCTGTCTTTTCATTATTATTTTATTATTTACACATTTCTACTTAAATGCACCAGTGGCAGTATGTACCATCGTCTACATACAGTACTGTACATGAATGCAAAACATTCTGGATTGGAAAATCTGCGGAGTGAATCATCAATAATGATCATGTCGTCACAACTCCCGAAGCCTGACTCCTCGAAACTACCTCCTCAAGATCACCAGCAGCCACTTCCTAAAAAGTTCCTTTTGCCGCGGAAAATCTTTTGTCCATGTGGCACATCCTCAGACTTCGGAGGCCGTGAGAGATACCTTGCAAGCTGACCCACGCCTCTGCTGTGCGTGGTGGGCTCGCCCTTTTAGTGCACTGCAGGAAGTGACCTGGCAGCCCAAACCCGCTGCTTAACGCTAACAGTCACAGAAGGTCTGAGTCCACTTTCTGCAGCCGGCAGGAAAGTAGAACTTCAATCCTAAAGAGGCAGATGGGGGGGGGAGAAGGGAGTGACCTATATAGAAGAGGCTGAAATATTTATGGAAGTGTGTGTCCTAATTGGCACACCATTGGGAGCTGTATCCCAATCCTGTCATCTTTAAAGAAGTCATTTATACATCGTGCGCGTTCGCGCGCCAATCGACACTTGCTCACCCCGTTTGACGCCGGCTGAGCCGGAAGTGGACAGGACACCTCCTATATTCCACGCGGAGCTGTGGACAGGACCAATGCCAAACGCCCCCCCCCCCTCCAAAAAAAGTGGAGGTTGTCCATCATTTGCTGAGCTGATTAAGGTCAAGAGGCTATAGGTTTATGAGATTTTTTGGCATGTTTCAGATTTATGTCTAAGTACCACTAAGTCTAACCATACTGCTAAGACCTGTAATCATATACAGTAGCTCTGGCTATGTAGGGTCTGTACTCAGTGGACCCCCTCCTGTCTGTAAGAATGGATCAGTTCTTTTGCTCTTCTCTTACAGGAAACTCTCCAAAACGCCCACAGCCCGTGTTCATCTCTGAGACTAGAGCCTCTGTGAAGAAGGCAGCTCCGCTCCACCCCTGCAGGGACTCAAACCCTCAAAAGCTCTGAACACGTCCGGTATGACACCAGTGGCTAACGTCGCCTTTGCCAAGGGACTGACTCATGTCACCAGGGAACAGTGTGGCTCTTGGCTCGGCCAGGATTCGAACCCGGTCGCTCGTTCAGAAAATGGATAACACCACTCTCTGGACGGTGGACACACCAAGAGTCCTGGTCCTCTATCGCCGGGGGAGTCTGCACAACACCAGTGACTAGCACGGCTCTGCTCCTGCCAGGACTTCAATCACAGTCACTAGCGTTAGCAAGAAGCCTACAGCTCCACTTTGTAACCACCTGAGCATTTCTGCATTCCACCGGGTCTGTTGTGCTGCCCGGGTCCTCTAGATATTTTTTTTAGAAATCTTAGCATAAGGGAGATTAGAACTGGCTGAGCCCTGGTTTCCTGAGGGGCTCAACCAGTACCGCACTGGTACCAGTACAGTTAACCAGGTGTGAACTCAAACCTGGGTCACGTCATTGGCTGGCTAGGATCAGGATTCCCTGAGAGGCACCACAGGGCTCCGGCTCTCTGGCAAAAAGCGCCCCTTGTAAACTGTCAGAAGCCTGCGGCCTCACGGTGAGATCAGGGCTTCCTCCACGCTCAGGCGCTGTGCAGCGCGCTGGGAGTCGGATGACAAATGACCTTGCAGGTAGGCAAGTTGGAGAAAGTGTCCACGTGCCTCATTTACCCACAGCTGGCGTGGAAGAGGCTGGCCAGAAAGCCAAGTCTTCAAACAAGATTAATGAGAACACATGGTCTTCAAGGAAAAAAAAAAAAGAAACTAATCAGAGTTTTAAAAAAGAAAGAAACACCACTAATTGCCGTTTGCTGCTATAACTATCACAAACTACGATGGGGCACGTCAGAAAAATGTTTGTCAAAGCCACAAAATTCTAGTGCACAACGCAGCTGAGCAGTTGAACTGACTCCTTTATGGGCTTGATCAGAGACGACTAGGAGGGGATCAAATATTCAAAACAACCTAAAATCCCCAAAGACAAAGCCAACCATATGGACGTCCTCAGGAAGTTCACAAAGCAAAGGACACAAGTGGACACTTGAAGTGGTGGGGGAGTTCATTTAAGACAGGGAATAAGAGGCACAGCTTTACACGGAGAGTTGCAGGAGCCTGGAACAAGATACCCCACCATTTTTCTTGAAGCTGATACCCCGGCTGGTTAAGAAACAGCCCGACAGGATTCACAGAATAAACAGCAGGTAAGTGAGCTAGAAAAGTGACAATTAAGGTCTGGATGGACAGAATGGCCCTCTTTGATGTGTCCACTTTCTCATGTTCTTGATAACGCTTGCTGAAAGAGAAGGAGATGGGATGTGGCTCCTATAGTTCCTACACATAGGGGGGTACAGATCAGCTCAAAACTGACCCACAGGGGCAGAGAGGGCGAAAAGGAGGGGTAGGTAGGTAGGGGAGTCACAGACAACTTACGTAAGAAGTACTCTGCTGTGTCTGCTTCGTAGTCTGTGTCCTCAGGAAAGTGGTCTATCTGTTTACACAGCCCTTTAAAATTTCCTGCAGGAACAAACAGAAAGGCATGGTTAGGCACCCAGAGCCGAAAAAAATATCTTCTTTGTTCAATTTTTCTTAAGCTTTACCGTGCTGGGGGGGGTTAGGGCTGGGACATGATTTCACTGTCTCATTCTAAAGCACAGAACCAAGCCTGAGCTGCCTTACTGATGCGATGACACACAGACCACACACATGTCTGCGCTACATGCAGGTGGGAGGGGACGCACACTGGAGACATCAAGCAGGTTGCAGTGACCTTAAAGAAGCGACCTGTGAAAATGTTCTATGTGCTTATGTTGATGAATCATCACTGTATTCCTCTAGATGTGGTGAAGTGTTGAGAAAAGGACAGCAGAATGTTAGCATGCAGAATGAAAGGCTTGGACCGTAGGTACAGAGGGATCATGTCGAAATCATCCACATTGACAAATAAGTCTTTCCTGGGAATTCCGGTTTCTAATTTTGCTCACCACATTCCAAAGGCAGGCATTGTTATTTTGGAGTCCAGAGATGAGGAACAGTGAGTGATTCCTGAAGCCAAAGGAATCCCGAAGCCATACTGAGGACAAAGGAACTGAATCTCTTCAGTCCCGATAGTCAAGCGGTCAGGAGTCATAAATTCGTAACCTTGGAAGGCGGTGAAAACATTCCCCCCAAGGGACTGCTTCAAGATAGGCCCTCAAGAGTATAAATTAATATTCTTTCAGCAAAATCAGTTCCTGATGCGATCAACTGGGGGCGTCTCACACAATCTAGCCTGCCATGCTGTTGAGATGGACTGTCTGGGAACCTTTCGTCATGACACTGGATGGGTTTTCAGCAAGTCAACAATGTGGCGACTTACAGGACTTCCACAAAGCTCCCGACTTTGTGCCTAATTCGAAACTCGGGATTTTCTTCTCTAGAATGCCAGTGAATGGATTTCGGTGCCGAGGTCTGAGAAACTGGGACTGCGGCTCCCCTTTTTAAATGAGGTCCAATGAGGGCAAATGACAGGGAATGGTACCTTTGAGAATGGAATGGCAGGTGAAGGCCTTTGATCGAGTGGTTTGCAATTTTTCACAACCCCCCACCCCCCACCCACGCACGCTCACGCGCAAAAAAAAAGTGCTGAACTGCTCGTGTCCACCTGGTCCATCAGTCATGAGCGCTGCTGGCCCGATCGGACGGCCATTGATTTTGTTTCCTCACTCTGCCGCAGTGACGCGGGGGGGGGCGACCGGAAGGGAGGGGGGGGAGGAAAAGAGACAGAAGGGGGCGCTGGAGGCCGAGACGGGGAGACACAGGGAGAGCCTGGGAAAGGGAGCTAGAGCATTGCCGAGATCCCACTGGAGTCTCTCTGCATCTTCTGCTTCATTTAACGAGCGCCTTAATTACCCTCGCTTTCCACACGCCCAGCCGCAATTAAACGGGGGCTTCGTTAATTGATGATTTGGGGTTCAAGTGAAACGACTGTATCAGTTGAAGCCAGCGCTGTTTCTCTCTCTCTCACACACACACACAGTCTCACACACAAGGACGTACAGTGCCTATAGAAAGTCTACACCCTCCCGGGACTTTTTCACATTTTACTGCGTTACAGCGTGGATCCATGATGCATTTAACTGAGCATTTTTGCCGTTCATCAACACAGAGTACTCTATAATGGCAAGGTGGAAAAAAAATCCAGACATTTCGCTTAATTAAAAATAAAAAACAGAAAATAATGGAATGCATATGTATTCATCCCCCCCCAGAATTAATACTTGGGAAGACCACCTTTGGCAGCAATTCCAGCTGTGAGTCTCTTTGGGTAAGTCTCCCTCAGCACTGCACATCTTGACACTGGAAGTTTTGCCCATTCTTCCAAGCTCCATCAAGCTGGATGGGGACCGTTTGTGAACGGCGATTTTGAAGTCATTTCAGAGATGCTCAGTTGGATTGAGGTCGGGGCTGGCAGTGTGGTCTAGCAGGGGTCCGGCAGTTGCTGGGTTTCTGATTGGTGGGGGAGGACAACTCTGAAGCTTTGCTTTAAGCCAGGCCTTAGCTTAAACTCTTCCACGGGTCTCTTTTGCAGATCCTTCTAAAACCGTGGGTAACCCTCACGTTCTAACCAAAGGAAAGGAAAGGAGGAATGTAGCTACTGCAAGGTCCTGTAAGAATTCTGTTTGCGTGAACTGCTGTGCTTTCTGTTTGCGCGTTCATCCCTCCATTTTCTAATTGCTTTAGCCAATCCAGAGTCGCGGGGAAGCCTGAGCCTGTCCCAGCAAGCGACAGGTACAGTACAAGGCAAAGTACACCCTGGATGGGGTGCGAGATCATTACAGGGCACACACAGACAAAAACGCCTGCTTGTGCATCACTATTAACGAGGCTCGTCCCAGCCAGAGAGAGGAAAAGTAATTGAATCCAAATACAATTGAAAACACTTCCCTTTCTGCTTTTCCTCTCGTCAAGCTCCAGGCTCAAAATTTCCTTTAATTTGTTTTTTTAACTGAACAACATCAGCAGATGGAGAACCAATGGACATTTGCCACAGCCCTAACAGGAGCAAGCCCTGCTCAAGCGTACTCCTGCCGAGGATTTGAACCTGCAACCTTCCAGGAACAAGACCAGGGCCCATATTGCTATGCCACACAACAGGAGCGAACAACCTTAACCTCCATGCTGCCCCCAAAATTCCAGGGTATGCTGGCAATCCCCATGAGAAAACAAATGTAGTCATTTAGCAATAAAAGGCTTATTCCACAATATTCCATGATTATTATAATTCTGTAGTTAATCTTGTTACAGTCATATTGCCATTCCTATGACAAACCAATATGAAAGGCCTATTATTGATGCATCCTTACTGGGCAAACCAGACTGTCCCATATTTCACCACAGGTCACTACAGTTTATTGCAGACTGCGCTGATTGCTGTAGTGTGCTGTCACCCAAGCAAGCTGAGATCTGACACCACCAGTCCAATTTCGAGCACTGTCCTCTGTCAGAGAGTTTCAACAGACACACCTCCCTGCAATGATCGAGCTTCTTCAAACCTTGGACTCAATGTTCTGTTGGCGTCTTTTCTAAGCAGTCTTCTGGAGAAAACCCCCTTGGGGGTAGAATCTTGTCCCACGTGTGTTCTTTAAAAAAATGTCTTTTGAGCTTAATTTTGCACACATAAAAGGACTCAATTCTAATTGTAAAGTCCCAAGGCTGTGTCTAGTGTGTCTCTGTACACCTGACATATATAGTCATATCCTGAAAAAACACATTAAACTCCTAAGTATATTAGTTTGTTATAAGGTCAGTTCAGTGCTGCCTTCTTGGGTCAATTAAACTAATTGATAGTCTTGAACCTCTGTCAGCTGGGTGACAGGTGTTTGTTGTTGGGTAATTGATCTCACAGAAGAGTTGTGAACGGCCTATTAACGTGTCTTGCTTAAAGCTGGAGTCTGAGAAGGACACTGGACCTTTTAAAAATTCCAACAATCTTGAATATATTTAAGAAGAAAGAAACTGGAGATAGATTTACCAGGTGCAGGTGAGGAAAGAAGAAATATTGGATTTTTAGGAAAACCCTAAAGACAACTGTCAGTGAAATCACCAGGAAATCTGTCTCCAGAGTGCAAGAGTGAAAGTATTGAAATTCACAGATTGCAGAACGCTGAGACAGCAACATTTCAAAGGCTACAGACGTATACCTCTTGCCAGCACGAAGAACAGAAAAGCCAGACTTGAATTTGCTCAAAAGGACAAAGATGAGCCGAGAGAGTTTTAGAACAAAGCTTTACGGACAGATGAGACCCGGCAAAGGAACTTCAGATGCTCCCAAATTCACCACCTCATCTGTGAAACGTTTTGAGAGTAAAGTCATGGCCTGAACATGCATTGGGCCATCACAGAAACTGGCTCGCTCATCTTTCCTCCTGATGGAACTAATGACCACAGCAGCAGACTGAATTCTGAAGTTCACAGAAACTTTGTCTGTCCTAAAGCACATAGCCAAATCAACCAAGATGCTCTCACCATTTAAAGAGAGCAGCACTGTACATGCTGCAGACATTTGTGACGTCACAACACCCTACCAATAGGCAAAAACGCCAAGTGTCTGCAGCAAACCATCTCTGATTACACAAAGAGTTTGATGAGCTCAGTGCATCACTGATGTAATGAAGATATTTCCTCAAAGGGATATGCAACCAAATACTGACTTTTCCACTCTGAAATGTTCTCAAAGTGATTGCGCTGAAATATTTATGGTCACTTGAACTGACTGACTGGAACAACAAATTCATTTGTATTCTAATCTGATTGAATTCACGGAATTAGCCAAACATAAAACAGACTGTACTTGTATGGTATTCGTTCGAATGAGTTGCATGATCACACAGATTGCTTATTGGTTGGTCAAAACTAAGTTTACAGTTTTTACCCCAGTACTTTTGGAGGGCACCGTAACGATCTGTCTCAATGAAGTTCCTAAAAAACCAATAAACAAGAGTTGCAACAGATAGCAAAAAAGGTTCTACACAATGTTAAGACACAGAGCTGTAGTGGAAAAGTCACTATAAATGTAAATCAGAAGAAGAAAACAATTTATAGCTCTTGATGGCTTTAAAAGACTAGTATTGTATAATATGTTAAATTACAATTTCTGGGAAGAAGCCCATTGAAAAGACAAATATAACTTATTATGGAAAAAACAAACATTTTTCCAGCAAGCAAGATGTGTTTTTATTCTGGAGTTAGGCCAGTAATGCGTAGCTCATCCATCCATACGCTAACTGATATATTTCCAATTTAGGGTCACAGGGGAGCAAGAGTCCCAGCAAGCAATGGGCACAAGGTAGGGGACACCCTGGACGAGACGCCAGTTGATCGCAGGGAATGCACAGCTCACCCCTGGGCTCAAAGCAAAAGTTTTCATTTGGCAAAAGCTGCCGACGTGACAGATCTTGAGGTGTCTAATAAACCTGTGCACCAGTGTATAAAGATATATTCAAAGGTCACAGAAATATAACGAGTGATATAAAGTA